ACTTTCATATTTAAGGGAGGAGGAAGCAGGGGAAGTGATGGAGGGGGGAGGGTGTAGGGAGTGATGGAGGGGAGAGGGAGTGATGAAGGGAGGGGTGGGAATGGATGGAAGGGGAGTAATAGGAGGGGGAGTGATGAAGGGGGGGAGAAATGGGAGGGAGAGCAACAGAGGGAGGGGTAGCAACAGAGGGAGGGGGAGCAACAGATGGAGGGGAGTGATAGAGGGAGTGGTGTGTGGAATAATGGTGGAATAATGGAGGGGGTGGTGGTGTGGAGTGATGGAGGGAGGGGGGAGCTCACCTGGGCTCGTCGTTGCCCATTTCCGTTCACGCGAGCGGAATCCTCCGTGTGTGGGCGCTCTGGGTCGTTGGTCGTGGGTGGTGTGCTGTATTGGCATCCGTGGGGCTGGGTTGCCGTTTCGTTTGTCTTCGCATTGTCGTTTGCGCGTTGCGCTTGTGGGCATTCGTTGTCGTGCATGGGCATTCGTGGGCATTCGTTGTCATGTTGTGGGCACTCGTGGGCATTCGTTGTTGTGGGTGGGGGTTCATGGGTGGTGGGGCCGTGTGGGGCGGTGGGCATCGTTCGTGGGTGGGCGGATTTGGTTGTTGTCGTGTTGTGGGCGCTTGTCTTCGTGGGCGGTTGTTGATGTTGGTGGGTGCTCGTGGTTGCGTCGTGACATGGCACCGTCCTCGTCCCCAGTGGTGTCGTTCTGTTGTGGTTGTGCCCTGTTGTTGTCGTGTCGTGTTGTCGAATTGTTGCCACGTCGCAGACAGCGACATGGCCCCTGGATGTGGTGTGAGACGGAAAGAAAGGGGGTGGGTGCACTCACCTGATCAGCTTGGACAGTGACGACAGCATGCGTCGTCACCGTCTGGACGACGTGGCACACCTGCCACATCGTCTTCACCTCCTGGGCGCTCGTCAATGGTCGTGGGTGGTCGGTGGCGACATTGTGTGTCCTCGTGTGTTGTCAGTGTCGTCGTGTGTCGTCGTTGTTGATGTTGCGGGCGCCCGTGGTTTGTGGCGGTGGTGAGGGATGGTGGATGGTGGTGGTGGGGAAGGAAGGAACAACGTGGGTGACGTTCCAGCCACAGCTGTCACACATATGACGCCATGTGTGCTGGTGTGGTATATAGTTACCTTTATCTGACTTTATAATAAAGCCTGCATGGCTCAGTTGGCTTTAGTGCTACTGTTGTCCACGACGTTGAAGGTTCAATTCTCTTGAGTGCAAAACTTATTTTTATTTAAATATAGTAAGGACACCATAAATAATATGTTTATATGTATTCTAATGGTATACTGGCCTTCCATGGTCTTCCATGGAGTCCATATGGACTGCTCCATGGACTCCAGTGTGGGTATGCCTGCATTCCATATGGAATCCAATGGAATCCATATGGAGTGGTGTTGGAGTCCACATGGAATTAATCATTCCATGACCATTCCGTCATCATTACATATGGAATCCATGATGTCTATGGAATAAGAAACTGGCTGGGTCCTCAGCCAACATTGATTCCATGGATTCCATGGATTCCATACAGAATAACCTGGGGAAGGTAAAGACCTCCAAAACACCTGCATTGAGTTCATGGGGGGGTATGGTGCACGATGTGAACTGTAGGATAGATGATCAGAAGATGGATGCTTCGAGGAAAGTAGATGAAAAGAGGGCACACACATAAACTTCAGCAACAAGACGATCGCCTCTCTGTTTGTCATTGATCTTTCAGTTCACTCAAAGGGTGGTTGACGTGGGTTTCCAAATCAACCATGGACCAGGATTATGGTGATGAGACGTTCATGGAAAACAAGGACACAAGGGCTGTGAACGAAAAAGTAGTTGAACAAATCAGAATAGATAGCCCTCCACCGGTTTGAAAGCTTGTGCGCCATGCGTGAACTTGCAATTCCATGTCAGGTTTACTCTCAATGAGTGATGACAGATCAAATACTCACCCAGCAAATGTTGAGCAGGAGAACTGGACAGCTCTGCAAATGTAACAAGAGATTCCCAGGCACACGAATG